AGACGGGGTTTCACCATGTTGACCAGGATGGTCTCGATCTCTTGACCTTGTGATCCACCTGCCTCGGCCTCCCAAAGTGCTGGGATTACAGGCTTGAGCCACCGCGCCTGGCCTAAACTGATTTTTTAACAGATGTCCTATACCATGCCAGAAAGTTCCCTTCTTTCCTTTTTTGAGTTTTTTTTTGTGTGTATGTGAAAGGTGTTAAATTTTGTCAAATGCTTCTTCTGCATTTATCTAAATAATCACTTTTTTATGTCTAATTCTATTTTTCTGATGTATTATATTAATTTTTAGATGTTAAACCTGTAAGAATTAAAAAAAAGAGGAAAGAAACATGAAAAGCAGTTCAACAAAGACAGGTTTATTTTGGAGAATAAACCTGAGAGGTGCTTCTGGCCAAGTTAAGTCAGAGGCACTCTCTCTAACAGACTACAAGTTTTTAAGAGTTCAGGGCAGGAGAGCTTATCACAGGCTTGGAATGTTCCTGTGTCTCTGTCTTGCTTACCTGGGAAGGAGAGTTTTGTGTCTGTTCCCATACATCTTCCTATAGCTACAGGCATACTCCACACCATCACTGCCTCCACAGTCTGCTTTCAGCTTTCCTATCTTAGTGCACCTAAAGGGAAAGGAATGTGTTTATTAGGGCCCACTGTTTTATTGAGGCCTATTGTATGAGTGTGAAGTTTGGTGGTTACCCAAAAGACTTTCCCATCTCCCTCTGTGCCTGAGCTGTCTTACCTGTGTTTTACTCTCTGATCTTTGTGGCTGCTTGTTGTTAGAAGAGAAATGATTTCCCTGAAATGCATGAGGTTAGAAAGGGAGCTGGAACTTAAAGTGGTGTTGTTTGTCCAAGATGACAGTGCTCCTGCTCTGTCAAAACCAACCTTGCACTCTTGGCATGAATCCCAGTTGGTCATGGTGCATAATTATTTTTAATATGTTGCTAGCTTTGGTTTGCTAGTGCTTTGTTGATGATTATTGTGTTCATATTCATAAGACACATTGGTCTGTAGTTTTCTTTCTTTGTGATGTCTTTGTCAACCATTCTTTCTTAAACTTAATCACAAAATCATACTGTAAGGCCTTTTAGGCTGACTGACGGTGCCATGGACATCATGTTAACCTCTGGGACCCACATGGACACTTCAGATGAGTTCCTGGAAAATCTGAAGTAACTGAAAGACCATGAAAAGAGGAAGAAATGTTCAACCTCTGTGGTGCCTAATTAATTTGAGACATTCTCTGTTGTTCATTTTCCCCACCTCAATTGATAAAGTAATTGGATTATGTAACTAACCTTGGTCAACCTCATGACTCCAGACCCCATAATCCCCTCCCAGCTTGCAAAAATCGCCCTAAACCGTAACTTCTGTAACTTTCCACTGCCTACCCCAAACCTATAAAGCCAACTCCTATCCCTCCACCCTCCACTGACTCTCTTTTTGGACTCAGCCCACCCGCACCCAGGTGAATAAATAGCCATGTTGCTCGCACAAAGCCTGTTTGGGGGATCTCTTCATTCAGAGTGTGCATTTTAACACATATCATACACAATATCATATGTAAAAAAGAATAAGCAATTTTTTTTTGAGACCTAGTCTCGCTCTGTCTCCAGGCACCAGGCTGGAGTGCAGTAGTGCAATCTTGGCTCACTCAACATCCACCTCCCAGGTTCAAGCAGTTCTTTGTCTCAGTCGCCTGAGTAGCTGGGACTACAGGTGCCCACGACCATGCCCAGCTAATTTTTGTATTTTAGCAGACATGGAGTTTCACTGTGTTGGCCAGGATGGTATCAGTCTTTTGACCTTGTGAACTGCCTGCCTTGGCCTCCCAAAGTGCTGGGATTACAGGTATGAGCCGCTGCGTCTGGCCAATAAGCAATTTTTAGATAGCCTAAAAGATTCAAGTCGGTGTTCAATTTCTTTGACTACATGCAATTTTCAGTGTTTTATAAAGAGCCTCCTATAATCTGGTAAATGAGGAGGCTCTGAACATTAGAAGAAGTGGGGTTTTGTGTTGGAGAAAAGAAGATTGGATGGGAGAGAGCAAGTTTTTTTTGAGAGCAAAACTCTTAACTTAGTGTAGAACAACAACAAAAGAAAACTAACGTTTATTTGGTTCCAGATGATAGAGCAAGAGCAAAAGAGGAAGTTTACAAGAAAACTGATTTGGGATCAGAAAAGGAAGTCCTACTTCCACAACATTCCCCTGTTTCAGCATAAAGTCTGTCACATCACACCAACTCTCTGACCACCAAGTGCAATGTAGAAGTGGAGCCCTTTTTTCTCAGTCCATTTCCCCTTCTTTGCCTCACTTCCTTCCCTGTTTAGGGCACATTAATCAGCCTTGCTTTATTAGCACAACTTGCTTAATCTTTGGGCCTCTCTGAAGATGTCCTGCACCCCGACCTCCAGTCTTGGTTGAATGAATCCTGTCCCGAGACTGTTGGACAAAGTTGGAAAAAAAAAATCACTATTCTTGAGACTGGAACCATGACACAGTTCATGGTCTTCAAAGTCAGTTGTGCAAAACTTTTCACTTGACCTTAGTGAAGTAAAATACTATTCACTGTTTCCTCACTTTCCTTTTGATCCAGTCCTCAGCCCACTCTTCAATCAATCAAATCGGTGAAGATTTATGGAACACCTGCCATGAGCCAGGCACTGCTTTAGAAGCTGGAGACATAGAACTGAACAAGAGCAACAAAATCTCTGGTCTCATGGAACTTTTATTGAACTTTATTTCAATAAAGATACCAATAAAGAAGACAATTTCTGATAGAGATAAATGCTGTGAAGGAAATCATGCATGATGTTGGGATAGAAATGATGGCAGGAGGAGTTCCTTTCAGATGGGGTGACATCTGAGTTGAATTCTAAACAGTGAGCCACACCTTCCCATCAGCATCTTTGCCCAGACACTTTGCCTTCCAGCAGAGTGGGACTACAAATTGACTGTTTCTATTTTTACACTGAGGCCAATCTCTCCACTTGTGAACTAGGTACCGGTCCCTTTTATTTACTCAAGAACATTGCTCCAGCAAGACTCCCTTTTCCCCTCCACCAAGTTTTCCCTCTACTGTTTCTATCTTCATACAATCATGCTATTTTCTTTTTTCTTTTTGAGGTGGAGTCTCTGTCGCCCAGGTTGGAGTGCAGTGGCATGATCTCGGCTCACTGCAACCTCTGCCTCCTGGGTTCCAGTGATTTTCCTGCCTCAGCCTCTCGAGTAGCTGGGACTACAGGCATGTGCAACCACGCCCAGCTAATTTTTGTATTTTTAGTAGAGATGGGGTTTCACTATCTTAGCCAGGATGATCTTGTTCTCTTGACCTCATGATCTGCACGCCTCGGCCTCCCAAAATTCTGGGATTATAGGCGTGAGCCACCACGCCTGGCTCAATCATGGTATTTCTCTTATCTTTTTTTTTTTTTTTTTTAATACAGTTGTGCCCAGCTGGAACATAGTGGCACAACTGAAGCTCATTGCTCATTGTAATGTTAAACTCCTGGCCTTAAGCAATCCTCTCACCTCTGTTTCCCAAAGCATGTGGATTACATGCATAAACCACTGCACCAGGCTCATCTTTCATTTTAAAAACAACGAATGTGTCTGGGCTGGTGGCTTATGCCTGTAATCCCAACACTTTGGGAGGCTGAGTCCAACAGATCACTTGAGGTCAGGAGTTTGAGACCAGCCTGACCAACATGAAGAAACCCCGTCTCTACTAAAAATACAAAATTAGCTGGGCATGGTGGCTCATGCCTGTAATCCCAGCTACTCAGGAGGCTGAGATGGGAGAATCGCTTGAACCTGGGAGGCAGAGATTGCCGTGAGCCGAGATTGCGTCATTGCACTCCAGCCTGGGTGGGCAACAGGAGCAAAACTCCATCTCAAACACACACACACACACACACACGCACACACACACAGATACGCACACACTCCACCAACAACAAATGTACCGCATACTCACTGGTAAGAAATTGAAAGCTTTCCCTCTAAGGTCATGAACAAGGGAGGTATTTTCAATACTTCTATTAACACAGCACTGTAAATTCTAGGCAGAGCAATTAGGAGGGAAAAAGAAATAAAAGGCATCCACATTGAAAAGGAAGAAGTAAAATTATCTCCATTTGTAAATGACATGATCTTATATGTAGAAAACCCTAAAAATTCCAAAAAGCCTGTTATAATAAACAAATTCAGTAAAGTGGCAGGATACAAAGTCAACACAGAAAAATCACTGTTTCTATATACTAACAATGAACAATCTGAAAATGATATTAAGAAAACAATTTCATTTACAACAGCATGGAAAGGAATAATAAAATACTTAGGAATAAACTTCACCAAGGAGGCAAAAGACTTGTACAATGAAAACTACAAAATGTTTCTCAGAAAAATTAAAGCTACAGCCTTCCGCCACGGTCGCCATTGGAGAGTAGCAGCCATGGCTCTTCGGTATCCTATGGCCGTGGGCCTCAACAAGGGCCACAAGGTAACCAAGAACGTGAGCAAGCCCAGGCACAGCCGCCGCCGCGGGCGTCTGACCAAACACACCAAGTTCGTGCGGGACATGATCCGGGAAGTGTGTGGCTTTGCCCCATACGAGCGGCGCGCCATGGAGTTGCTGAAGGTCTCCAAGGACAAACGGGCCCTCAAGTTCATCAAGAAAAGGGTGGGGACACACATCCGGGCCAAGAGGAAGCGGGAGGAGCTGAGCAATGTCCTGGCCGCCATGAGGAAAGCTGCTGCCAAGAAGGACTGAGCCCCCTCCCCTGCTGTCTCCCTGAAATAAAAAACAGCTGCGCTAAAAAAAAAAAAAGAAAAATTAAAGCTACAAATAAATAGAAAAACTATTCCATGTTCATTGGTACTCTTAATATTCTTCTGGATATCAACACTCTCTAAAGTGATCTACAGATGTAATGTAGTTCTTATTAAAATCCAATGGCTTTTTTTTTTTTTCAGAAATGGAAAAATCCACTTCAAACTTCATATGGAACCTCAAGGGATCCTCAATGACCAAAACAATCTTGGGGGGAAAAAAAGAACAAAGTTGGAGATCTCATACATCCTGGTTTCAAAACTTATTACAAAGTTGCAGTAATCAAAACAGTATGGTACTAGTATAAAGACAGACACATAGACCAAGGAATAGAATAGAGATCTCAGAAATAAGCCCTCACATATATGGTTAAATGATTTTGACAAAGGTGCCAAGACTATTCAATAGATGAAAGAAAGTCTTTTCATACAATGGTACTGGGGAAAATAGACATTCACATGCAAAAGAATGAAGTTGGATCTTTACTTATACCATATACAAAACTTAACTAAGAATCGATCAAATTGCATCAAAGCAAAAATTGTTAAAGTCTAAGAAGAAAACATAAGGCTAGGTGTGGAAGCTCATGCCTATAATCCCAGCACTTTGGGATGCTGAGACGGGTGGATTATAAGGTCAGGAGTTCAAGACCAGCCTGGCCAACATGATGAAGCCCCATCTCTACTAAAAATACAAAAAATTAGCTGTGTGTGGCAGTGGGTGCCTGTATTCCCAGCTACTTGGTAGGTTGAGGCAGGAGAATCACTTGAACCCAGGAGGCAGAGGTTGCAGTGAGCCAAGACCATGCCACTGCACTCCAGCCTGGGCAACAAGAATGAAACTATGTCTTAAAAAGAAAACATGTGCACCTTAGGCTACTGATCATTGGGCAAGAGAGAGACTCTGTCTCAAAAAAAAAAAAAAAAAAAAAAAAAAAAAAAAAAAAAAAAAAAGAAGAAGAAGAAAACATAGTGAGAAAACTTCATTAGATTTAGCAATCATTTATTGGATATGGCATCACAGCCAACAAAAGTAGAAACAGATAAAGGTATTACATTAAAATCTAAAACTTTTGTGGTCCAGGCATAGTGGCTCATGCCTTTAATTCCAGCACTTTGAGAGGCCAAGGCCAAGGCAGGATTGCGTGAATTCACGAGTTCAAGACCAGCCTGGGCAATATAGAAAACCCATCTCTACAAAAAATTTTTAAAAAATTAGCCAGGCATGATGACACTGGCCTATAACCCTAGTTCCTCCGAAGGCTGAAGTGGGAGTACTGCTTGAGCCCAAGAGTTTGAGGTTGCAGTGAGCTATGATCACACCACTCCACTCCAAACTGAGTGACAGAGAGAGACCTTGTCTCTGAAAAAATTTTTTTTATTTGAAAATTTCAAAAATAAGACTTTGTGCATCAAAGAATGCAATCAACAAAGTGAAAAGGCAATGTATGGAATTGGAGAAAATATTTGCAACTCATATATCTGATAAAAGGTTAATAACTAGAATATATGAAGAACTCCTGCAACTCAATAACAACAAGACAACATGATTAAAAAACGGGCAAAGGTCCAGGCATGGTGACTCATGCTTGTAATCACAGCACTTTGGGAGGCCAAGGCAAACAGATCATTTGAGCTCAGGAGTTCGAGACCAGCCTAGGTAACATGGTGAAACTCTGTCTCCACAAAAAATAAATGTTAGCCAGGTGTGGTGGCACGTGCCTGTAGTCCCAGCTATTCAGGAGGCTGAGACAGGAAGATCACTTGAGCCTGAGAGACGGAGGATGCAGTCAGCCAAGATGACACCACTGCACTCTAGTCTGGGCAACGAAACCAAACCCTGTTTCAGA